AACTCGATGATGATGGATACAATATCCACATTGGGAATGGTTTACTCACCATGACTGACCCCAACAACAGGATCGTTGCACGTATTCCGAAGATCCATGGACTCTACCAGATTCCCATGGAGGAATATGCTTATGTTGCCAAAGATCGACTGGTATCACTCTATGACGCCCACTGCATCTTAGGCCATCAGAACTATGCTTATATTAAGCACTTATTCGCACACAACCAGATCAATGGGATGAGATTGGATAAATCTCACATGGACGAGCCGGAATGCCGTACATGCTTGCTAGCTAAGGCAGCAAGATTTCCGATTGCCAAATTACGGTCTTCTCCACGAGCGGAGAATTACGGAGATGTTTTTCACATGGACGTCTGGGGACCCGCATCAGTTCAGACTATCAACCGTTGCACTTATGCCCTCACCATAGTCGACGAGGCGACTCTATGGTTAGAGGAACCATTGCTGAAAAGCAAGGATGAAGCATTCACCCAGTACGTCATTATTCAAACCAATCTCCAGACTCAATATGGCATCACTGTTAAAATTCTTCACTCTGATCGAGGGGGAGAGTTTCTTAGCCGAGAATTCAACCAGTACCTGGAACGACTTGGCACCCAGCGGAGATTAACGGTGCATGACACTCCGGAACATAACGGCATAGCGGAACGCACTCATCGGACTCTACTGAATGCAGTACGAAGTCTAATCATTTCATCAGGACTCCCTAAATGGCTATGGGGATTTATGATGAAGTATGTGGTTTATATTTGGAACAGGACACCAAAGAAGGGAATAAATATGGCGACACCATACGAAAAACGGTTCAATCAAAAACCCGACATTTCTAACTTTCAAATATTCGGGAGCATAGTGTATGTAAAGAAGGAGAAAGAGCCAGGAAAATTCGAACCACAGGCACAAGAAGGAAGATGGATAGGTATAGACACGGAATCTAACGGATATTTTATCTATTGGCCACAGCGACAAACAGTTACCACGGAACGGAACGTAACAATTTCCAACAGGCAGATCCAACTCATTGAGGAGGAGGATGGAAATTTGGAAAATTTGGAAACATCAGTCACTGAGTCGGAACAGCCTATTATTCCTGTACCTGACGAAATTGCAGAGCCCATCCCGCCGGAACAACTTACCGGAAAACGTGTCAGGCGACCCACTCAGAAAATCAGGGATATCATTGAAGGATCAGCAGAGGGTAACACAGAACTCCGATACCTTACAGCATCACTTGCACAAGTCACATCTGAAATCGAATCAGATCCTTTATCAGTTGCAGAAGCTATGCGCCGACCTGACTGGCCAAAATGGCAAGAAGCCATGAACGAGGAGATATCCAGACTCAACCAGCGTGAAACTTACGATATAGTCACGGCACCATCGGATGCAAACATTCTCACATCCAAATGGGTTTATCGGACCAAGAAAGATGAACAAGGACGGCTTACTAGTCACAGAGCCAGACTTGTGGTGCGAGGATTTAATCAAATCCCAGATGTTGATTATTTTCCAGATGAAACTTTCGCATCAGTTGCCAAACTCGCATCAGCCAGAACTATTCTCAGCATCGCAGCTGAACACAGCTGGATCATTCATCAGATGGATGTCAAATCGGCATATCTCTATGGCAAACTTGATGACAGCGAAAAGATCTACATGAAGGCACCAACCGGCATTAATCTAGGTGTAAAACCCGGACAAGTACTTCGACTCAAACTTGCCTTGTACGGACTTAAACAAGCAGGTCGAAGATGGTATTTGCGATTCAGAGAAATCATGACGAAGCTAGGCTTCAAACGGTCAGATTTTGATCATGCCGTATTCTATCGCACCAACCCGTTCACAATCATTTTCATCCATGTGGATGATATGACATTGGTTACCAAAACTCTGGAAATTATGGCACAGCTGAAGAAATCTATCAGCGCGATTATCGAGGTCACAGATCAGGGCGAAATTCATTGGCTACTTGGAATCGAGATTCAGAGATCACTTCACAGCAGATCTATCCGTTTATCACAGCGATCATACATTGATGCTATTCTTAGCCGCTACGGATTTTCTGACATAAAGCCACTCTCCATTCCTTTCGACCCCCATATTCATCTCACCAAAGACCAGATGCCACAGACTGTGGAAGATATCGCCGCCATGCGGGATAAGCCTTACCGAGAAGCACTTGGTGCTCTCCAATATCTTTCCATTGCCACACGACCCGACATCACCTATACGGTTGCCATTCTTGCCCGATTCTCACAGAATCCAGGCATCGCTCATTGGAACGGACTTAGGCGTGTATACGCTTATCTGAAATATACCCGGGATTATTGGCTAACTTCAGGAGGAGTGCAGAAACATCCTGTCGAGGGATTTACGGACGCCGATGGAATGTCCCAAGAGGACAGACATGCCATATCAGGATACGTTTTTATGCTTAATGGCGGAGCAGTATCATGGTCATCAAAGCGACAGGACACCATCTCTCTATCCACTACAGAAGCAGAGTACGTTGCTCTCACGCATGCAGCCAAGGAAGCAATTTGGCTTCGAAACCTCATCTCCGAGTTGTTCACTCCAATCGCCGGACCTATCACACTTCACTCGGACAACCAATCAGCCATTGCTCTAGCGAAAGATGACAGGTTTCATGCACGGACCAAACACATCGACATACGGTATCATTTCATTCGGTATGCTATTGAAGAAGGTAACATTCGACTTACTTACTGTCCAACCGAGGACATGACGGCAGACATTTTCACCAAGGCTTTGACTTCAGCAAAAGCCAAACACTTCGCATCGTCTATGGGACTTGCAAAGGTTTGAGGAGGAGTGTTGGACTTCGTCATCTATCAACTTCATTATACTTACTATGGAACAGTCTTCCCACTTCGTTACTATCTATGGAACGTTCTCTCTCGCTGTAACTACTGGTATGTGAACTAGTTGTACTATCTTTATCCTGCCCACTCGCCATTGCTTTATTATCGTGCTCTCGTCTATTCTTACTTACTTACCTTGTGCTCCATTCCACTCTCGTCTTATTACTCTCACTCCGTCTGTGAACGCTTCACGCGTTGTACTTATTATTAACTCGCTGGACTCGTATTTAAGCCTGTATGTACTTGTGGAATATCAAAGTTGTGTTTTCTCTGTTTGTGTCTGTGTCTGGACCTTCGTCTCCTCTGTGTCTGTGTGACCAGAGCCTACTAACAGTGTAGAGTACACTGTCTGCCTTATCGATCAACCTCTAATATCAAGCCCAGTAAAAAGCCGCACTGGGTTGATCTGTGCTTTTATATTGAAAAGTGGCGGATTTCTGGGCAGCAGCTGTGAAGCGGTTGATCTCTGCTAACCACAGTCAATCCCAGCGTATCCCAGCCCCGCACAGTGTTGGGCTGATGCCCATTTCATTCAATTGCAGCTTTCAATATATAAGCTCAGCATGACTTTTCACTTCCACACTGGGCAGGGCCGAGACTGGCTGAGGTTGGCTGGATTTATATGTTGATCAGCCTGGTGCCCAGAAATCCACCACTTTTCAATATAAAAGCACAGATCAACCCAGTGCGACTTCTCACTGGGGCTCAAGGCTGAAGTTGTAGAAACAGCGGTCAGTCAACAGATGGTTGACAGCATACTCACCTAGAGTGTAAGGATGTTACAGGAAATAGAGAGTGCTTGTTGAGAGCAGGACAAGTGTCCAGACAAGTAGTAGGATTCTTGGTTATTGTTACAGGAAAATATCTACAGTATTTATACTACAGAAAAGTCTACTTGAGTCATACTGCTAAACATAGTGCATATACATGTGCATAATGTACCCTAGAAGATGGAGTCCATATGGTAATTCTATAGGTATTGTTCATAGGTACTGCAAGGCAGCGTACAAGCTATGTATCATAAGACTAATAGTGAATGGCATAATTGACTACATCTATATGAACCTGCATAGAGGCTGTGTCTAGTATTTGAGGGTGAGTTTCAACATAGCATATATTGACAGTTCATCAATTGTATAGCAAGTGTGTCTAGTCAACTCACACCACTGGTTAGATACGACTCATAAGTGGTAATCTAGTTTCAACAGAAGTTACTTATGCTGCTTACAATGAGTATAATAGTGTCACTTGGGACACATGTGCACCATATACAAAGTACAAGACAATATTGCAGCCCTGCGGGTGTGCAGGCAAGTGCGAGCCAATATTACGGGTGTGCGGGACAGTGCAAGCCAATATTGCGGTCGTGCGAGACAGTGCGAGACAATCTGCGAGTGTGCGGGTCAAGGTGCGGGTGATTCCGAGCAAATGCGGGTAGCTAAAAGTAAGTGCGAGTATCATCTGTGAGCATGTATGCCAACTACAAGTCAAAGTTGAGTGTATTAAAAGCCAAAGGTGTTGCAGATATTGCTGTTCCTTATAGGAATGTACACTGTGCGTACTTAGGTGCAATATCCGATAGTTTCATAGTGGATTGTCAACTACACTGTCAACTACTAGTAAACTACATAAAGTCAGATACCTAATCTCTCATATTCAGTGGATGATAAATAGTACTTGCACTTAGTAATTATTGTTATGATAATAGAGGCTCGCAGATCCCGCACCCGCACACTCTCGCACGGCTCGCATGCTTGCAAAAATCACCCTCCTGGGAGGTGAGGACATTGTCAAGCACATGTGCTAGCCAATTATATTACCAGGAAGTTCATATTTGTACAATTGACTTTGATGTAGAAAATTTCAAGATAACCTGGTGGTTTGTCACTTACAGCTTCCAAGTACACTGTTTCCACATGAGGATGTATAGACGGTCCCAACAGTTAATAACAAAAACGGTGGGGGGAGTAATTGAAAACGTGGAGAATGAGAGTAGTTCCAGTATTCCATCTGCAGCATGCATTTATTAGTTGAGCACGCCAAATGTTATTGAAAAATAACAAAATACTACCATGTAGTAGTGATTTCTCCTGAAGACCCTGGCTGGGAGTTGAACCCAGCTTTCGCGTGGTTTATAGATAGAGACTTTATACTTCCGGTCCATGCCAAGCGCGTGTAGTAGCCGATATACTACCAGGGAGTTCAGATTCATACAATTGACTCTGATGTAGCTATAGAGAATGTCATGATAACCTGTGAAAATGAGTCACCTACAGCTCCCAAGGGATATCGACGTGGTGGCCGTACACTGTTTCCACATGAGGATGTATAGACGGTCTCAACGGTGGTTAACGAAAACGGTGGGAGTAGTTGAAAACCGGTAGAAGGAGAGTAGTTCCAGTATATCATTTGCGGGTCACAGAGGAAAGTTAGCAAACGCGGCTGAAGCGGTGGAAGAATATTTATGACCCAGTACACAACACGAAATTATCGTTGTGGTTGCCAATGAAGAAACATACGTAGTGAGAAGGACAGGGAAGTGGGTTACTTACACGACATCATATCTGGTCCACTCTGTGAGCGATAGGTCCAGAAGCGATAATAAGCAAAAGCTTATCAGACAGAATTTAGGGGGGCGCGGAAACGGGGGGCGCAAACGATCCCTTTATTGGAAGTATGGTAGTCAATATAAATAGTAAAGTAATAACAAATACAGTAAGACACGGGGTGGCGGGTATCATGCCGGTGGTGCTACTTGAGCCCGAAACAACCGTCGTCGGACCGGCGGTCCGTTCTCAACACTCCCACTTGTGAGGGCCAAGGTACACAGAACGTACCACATAAGAAGATAAATAAACAAAGAAACAGAAACAGTCCAAAAGAAACAGAATGAGAGAGAACATACAAAAAAAAAGCTCCCACGACTTCAAGAACCCAGTTAGGCTTCATAATATTGAGTGAGCTCCCCAACATGAGCGGCAGGCTGACCTGAAGTCAAAGCCATGAGCGTTGTCGTACTAGCAGGATCTGGATTAGCATGAGGGGCCTCCCGACAGTTGGCTCGGATATGGCCACGTTTCCCACAGTTGAAACATGTGAGTTCGGAAACAGGGCGGCGCATGCGAGCCATCAAGCCTTGAGTCTGAGCCATAGAAATATCCCCACCCGATACAATGGACGGAGACTGGTTCGGTCCCTTGCCATAGGTGACATCAAAGTTCTGCAAGCGAGCAGTAACATAGTTGATATCTGAAATCCTCGGATCTCCATCGAGTTTCAAGATGATTGGTCGGTAGTCCTCTGGAAGAGAGACTAGAATACAAGCAACCATGAAGGATGTGGAGACAGGCTCGCCAAGGTTCTCCAAATGATCAACAAGTTTGCGAATGGTGGATACATGGGAAGCGATGGAGATGGTTTCATCCTTGTGAGACCGCATGATTTTCTCGTAGATGGAGACAATGGATCCAAGACCTTTAACAAGGTGATACTCGGCAAGTGCTTCCCACATTGCAAGTGGGCTGTCATCAATTCCCCTGACGATAGTGTACTGGTCCGGGTCAAGACGTTCGAATATAAGTCCAGCGGCTTCATCACTCTTCTCCTTCCATGACTTCCAAGTCTTAGTACTAATTCCCGTCATCGGCTCCGGCGCTTTCGGCTTTCCAACATCTTCAACATACTCTCCATTAGAATCTCTCTCTCTCTCCTCTCTCTCAACATATGCCAACAACTTCTTCTTCCTCAACACAGCTCTAGTCTGCATCTGCCAATTTCCAAACAAGTCCTCGGACTGGTCATCCTTCAGCATAATGGTGTTCGAGTCACGGCGAGTGTCCGGCATTTCGGCGAAGCTCCCACAGGAGTCAGTAACGGTGCAGCGGCAAACGGCTTCCCTCAGGAAGAGTCGATCTTCAATATAAACACAGGCGGCTTCCCACGGGAAGGGTCGGTACAACAAAAATAGCAAGCAGCTTCCCACAGGAAGAGTCGGTGACGGTACGGGCAAACGGGCCTCCTCGGAAGCGGTGGTGATCGAGTATGTGGTTTAGTAAGCAGAGGCGGGGCCCATAACCTGTGAGCGATAGGTCCAGAAGCGATAATAAGCAAAAGCTTATCAGACAGAATTTAGGGGGGCGCGGAAACGGGGGGCGCAAACGATCCCTTTATTGGAAGTACAGTAGTCAATATAAATAGTAAAGTAATAACAAATACAGTAAGACACGGGGTGGCGGGTATCATGCCGGTGGTGCTACTTGAGCCCGAAACAACCGTCGTCGGACCGGCGGTCCGTTCTCAACACACTCTGTCGCTCCATGTAACTTACTTTATTATAATTATAACAGTCTTCATCAAGATCGTGATGATCACCAAAAACAAACTCCCAAAACACTTCCCCTTCCATCTCCAACAGCAAAACTAACAAGCGTTGTTGGCGCCGGATCAAACACACGGACAGGGTTGAAGCAAGGGCATTGGCGTTCGAAGATTGGTGGTTGGCGTGGTACAGAAGAAAGTACTGAAGTTCGAGATGGGGAGGCCTGAGGACTGATGGTCGTAAGGAAGGGACAAGTGCCGATGAAGAACGAGGCTCGAGCGGCTTGAATATGGGCAACGCCCTCTGAGGATTCAACATTCCTGCCATGTGTCTTGCGGCGAGCCTAGAAAGATGCCAAAGTAACGTCAACGTCAATGAAGAAAATACCATTGAAGGTGGAGAACTACATAAACCCGTATCATCTCTGCAGTCTTTCCCAACACCTTTGCCAACGTCGAGCGTTCCCGACGTCCGTCAATCCAACACAACGAGACACAGATGCTCCGTCTGTATATCCTTTATCCTTATATCTGAGCGTTAGTTTCTGCCCAGCTCCAGTGTTCAATCAAGTCCAAGGCGGATGCTGCTGGTGAAGCGTCTTCCTACATCCTCCTTCCATGATTCTTCGGATGTGATGCAATTGACAGGAGAACGCGAGAGGTGGGGAGAGGTGGAGAGGTGACGCATGATGTGGGATATCAGTTTGTTTGTGGACATTCTGTTGATGGTTTGCTACTAGTCCTAGCTTTTGTCGAGGACGCGTAGAAGGAGAATAGACACCGAGAGACTTGTCATGGCATTAGAAAATAGTCAAGCTCCGAGCTTCAATCTGTTGTATGTGGTCGTTCAGTTGCGACATGTCCAGTCTTGAGTTGAAAAGGAATTCTTGTTTATAATGCATTGGATAGCACGACTAGATAAAGATAAAGACCATGCCGATTCAGAACCAAAACTTGGCAGATTGAAAGGAAGACGCACCGGACCCATATATAGTACAATATCCCATTTTCTCCCTCTGTTCTTGTAGACAACGACACTTGGTGATTGTACTGGGATTTTGATAACAGAAGCAGAAGAGACAAAGACGCCGAATTCAGTGATCATGACTCTCCTGCAGCTGGGAGAGTTTGACTTTGCGTATAACACGATGACGCGGACGTCCCGGTATTACTGGAAAGATTATGCCCATGATGGAGTATTTTTTGAAGAAATAAACGAGCCGGAGGCAGAACCGTCAACTAGCGCTGGTCTGGTCTGGTCTGGGCGCTTGAGGGTCTGATTTCTCTACTCCCTGCTATATCGAGAACTTCAACCGCCCGCCAACCGGTATCTCTTTGCTCTAACACTGCTCACGACAACCCGACCACTCGTCTCCGCCATCCCGACCTCCAACAGATCATCGTCTTGAAGTTGCATCTGCAAGTTGTCAGCCGAGTTGACTATTCCCACTGCCAGTACGTCAAGAACATGGTAGAGTGCAACCTACTCCGCTGCGCAGTGCTGACCGATCCCGTGGATATGTTTCTCCGCCGCCTTCTGAGCATGGCGAGACTCTCGCGCTGAAGATCATGCTGATAGAAGCAACAGAGAAGTGGGAGTGTCTTACAGGAAGGAGTCACGCCGTGGCTAGTTGTATTTGACGCCAAGGACGTACGCAAGACCATGAAGATGGACGTAGTGCGGAGAGAAAGTGACGAGGTCATTGTTACATTAGCCTCCAGACCAGCTTACATCCGCCATTTCGACACTATGCTCCACAGCTTCAGTGTTCGACATTTCATCGTTTATGTTTATATGCAATCCACTACTAGCGGGGCATCCAGTTAATGCAGAGTTCTCTCGTCTGAGCTCTTAGCAACATCAGTAAACAGGCCCGACAAAGTATAGAACGGAACTAGCCCTATGATCGATCCACTAGTCTGTCCCCGGATGCACTGGAAGCAGTAGACCGCTGGAAATTCAACCGTTTCTCGGGTATTGAAGAGACTCATAAACATTCGCTTTACCTCAACTCTACCGAAATCACTCTCTGCAAAACATTGCAACGCGTATCATCCACCAGACTACTGTCTGAGCTCCCAGACATCGTTCCTATTCTGACTTTCTCAATCTTTGTTCATTCCAGCTTCTTCTCAAACTTTCTCTTCTCTTTTCTTCATTGGCTTCGGGCCTCAGCTATGCTATGTGGCTTGTTGAGACACTCTGTCCGTCCGACGCTCCGATGGCTTGAAGGTATAAACTTTCGATCGGGCCTCACGGCATTAGCTTCATTAAGTTCTCGATGTACGTACAGACATTATCTTTCCTACTACGAAATACTCACATTACCAAGACCCATATCTATCAGAAACAACTTCCCGTAGTGCAATAATGAGACCGGCCTATAACTTCCACTCCTGTGGAATATGATTAAAGTATGAAGGCCCCCACATTGGCTGAGGCTCAAGGGTAAAAGGAGCAGGTCCAACAACCGATCGAAGTCCGATATTGCTTTGCAGACGGATTGGAGTTATCCTAAGACCACTCGAACCCATGATTCCTGAGTCTAGTTTGTCAAGCTCGATGCTGAATGAAGGCAAAACCATTGTATTCTTATCTTCTGCAAAGTCATGAATGAGACAAATTTGGGTATCATGCGCTGACTGACCTTCACCGCCACTGAATGCAGTAACAGCGTCGTTTCCTTGAGAAAAATAACTGTGTGTGCTCGGTTGAGACCAGTGAGATGCCGCTGACAGCCTTCGACCTGCAAAACTCTCTTTTTAAACGTTGTACCTAACACATCTCATTTTTCAGCTTACCTGAACTACTTTTTTCTATTGCTTTCCTCTCTGCATATCTCCGATTCTGCCATAACTTCATCAACTTGCTATTAAGAATCA